AGCAATAACCTCAATATTATAGACAAGAAATGCAATTGTCACTTAACACTGAATTTTTCTTGTCACACTTGAGCTAACTAAGCCTCCAGAATCTAGCTTAAACCATCCTTACAGGTCTCTTCTAGAACTCAAAGAGAGAACAAGATGCCTCTGGAGAGCACCTCATCASAGTCTTGAAGAGCTAGTCATGAGAGAGCAGGAAGATGTTCTCAAAGAATAAGCTGTTGAACTTAACAGCTAATAAGATGCTGTTTGAAAAAAATGCAGATACCTAAAGAAGAGCCACTCGAGCTCATGCAAGTGTCAATATCAACATATTCTGATTATCTTTGTGTAAATCTTGTCTGTTTCTGAAATGTGCAGTTAGATCACACCATAAAACCTAGCGCACATTTATGAATAGCCACTGAAAAGGTATTAGCAGGTCTTTTCTGTTTCAATCATTTTAAAGAGAGAAGGATGATTTTTAAAAGAGAAGATGATTACTAATTTCTTCCATTTTATACATTTTAACCTCGTCATTAATTGTTTTTCTCTGAACTATATGAAATCACCACTGAAAGAAAGAAGTGTTATTAACTTTATCAGAAGCTTGAGTTTAGGAGAAAAACAATACCTTTGTAATTACAAAGACATTTTTCTGCATTTCCCCTGCAACACAGTAAAGGCTTCTTCCATTTGTTTGGACAGGAACATCAAAGATAGTCTCAGAGGATATACAGAATTTCAGTGGTCTTCTCTTATTAAAACAAGCTGCTTTAATTAGCCTAATATATGATATGAAACCAATCAGWAATTAGTATCTTTGATCAAAATCTACACTAAAGTCAGTTTCTTCAGAATGTTTGATTTGCAAACAGCAAATGAAACAGAATGTGTTTGAACAGACCAAATTAGGTGTATATATAGCAGTATTTTTTGGGAATGTATATATTAATAACCATCCCCTTTGTATAAAATGCCTGGTGGGCATTTTCTGATAAACATAATCTATTTACAAAATATATTGGTTTTGAAAAAAATGGAAGAGGTTTGGTTCCTCTGAAAGCTGGCTCACACATGCAAACTGCTTCAAAAAATCCTTTATTCTAAAGCAGATGTAAAGTCTGGTGTCAAGAATATAATTAGAGATGATGTTGAAGTAGTACCTCACACAATGTCAATGCATGACAGGGATGTATGCATTGYCAGGGAAATCTATCAGCTGAAGAGAAAATTATTGCTTTGTTTCTCTAACTTCAGCTCTAATGTCTTTTCAACACTTCATTTGAAATGTAACTCTTGTTGACAGAGATTGGGAAGCAAGCACATTAAGGGGCCTAAGCTTAGCATCCCTTGAGAAGCCTGAATAAATAGCTTTGCCTTTTCTGTCTGTGTGCAGAGCTCCATGTTCTAACCTTCTWCGAGTTTTCAAATTCTGCTTTGTCAGAGGCAATGTCTCCATCTCTCTGAATAAGTCAAGAACCAGTCTGAGCACTAGGTTTACATCTGAGTATATCCTAGATATGTCAGCAAGAAAATGAAATGTTTGTTAGTGTGAAGAAAACATGARGAAGACAGCAGTGGAGGAATTTGGGTCTCAGACCTGCTGCAGCCAACTGCTTCTATCTCAAGTACCAAGGTTTGTGCTAACTCACATCTCATGAGGGGTCACTTCTGCTCTATGACCCTTCCCCATCTTCCCTTTTTTCTCCTGTACCTCCTCCCATGCCCCTCCTGCCTGCTCTCTGCCCCAGCTGTGCTGCTGTCAGTGTAGCTCCCATGGCCCTAGTGAGGGCTCTTGCCAGCAGCACTGTGATAYTGCAGACATTCAAAACCCTGACAGCTATTATGGCACCCTCGCAGCTCCCCATTGCACTTCCCCGTAGGCAGCACAGCTTCAGAGTGCTCATTTTCAGCCTTGCAGACAGCCTGGCTTGGGGAGGCTGGCGTTGGGAAGATGTGTGAGTGGAAACTGTGAGCCTGAGYTTGGTTTATCCTTTGGCTTAGCTGAAACTCTGTGCGTGGTGTCATGTGGATGTTGCACATTTAAGGAGAGATTCATTTCTGGGTGTGAGCTTGTGCCACCTCCACAACTCTTCTGAGGAGAAACCTGTTACAGCACTCCCTCACACYAGTTACTGCTCTCAGCTCAGCTCTGCTGCCACGAGCCCCTCGCACACCCAGCCTTCCCCACTKCCATGGATAATTTCAGCATCTCATCTCCTAACTGGAAATTACAGTTCTGTGCAATTGTGTAATGTACAGCTTTGTGCTGTAATRTGAGGAGATGGCGAGCAAACAAACAAGCAAGGACACTTCATGTCTTACAATCCAATCCATTTGATTCGAGCAGGATCGTGTTTTCCACCCATCCAGCTGGACTGAGAGTGCCTTTGGAGTGAAACAGCACACAGCTACACACTGCTCTTCAATCCATAACCTGCTTTGCAGAGTGCAAGGAAGGCAAAAAGGCATAGCAGCACATTATGCTTCAAATGCCTTCTGCTTGCCAGTTAGAAACATCCCAAATCAGTGCAAATCTTTAGTCAAAGGGAAATTTTATTCTGCTGGTGCCAAGCTTTGCATATCAGAGCCAAGCACAAATGCTGAGAGCTGAAGTGAAATCATGCTAGTCAATGAGGCAGAGCCTGCTTCTTGGAGCAGCAGTTCCTYTGAATTAAGGGTTATACCTTGGTCAGCACTTTGAACTCCCACTGCGGGCTCTGGGATGCCAAGAAGGTCAGAGAAGTGCAACATTATTAATGTCATGTTTTAAGAACAAACTAYTGTCCATTCCAGCTCACTGTTCTTTTGTTCTTTCTTAAACTCCATGCTCATCAGTTACTGAGTGCTGGGTTTTTGCTCTAYTAGTTCTGCTAATCATTATATATTTTATATTGCATTTAGCATTTCATCAACCATGAAGGAACCTGGACTTATAATGGATGGGTCACAGTGAAATAGAACTTCAAGACAGAAAGAGAAACAGATTTAAGTAGAATGGTCAATTTGAAACAGGCTTTCTTTCCCCTAGTGCACTTGAACATGCATTAATCTTCAATTTAAATAACAAATTAAAAATAAAGTATTGAGCCATTATAGGGGTCAGATAATTGAGTTAAACTCAAATTATACTGCAGTAACTGCTCAAACGAAGTCTAGTTAAAAAGAACTGAGTAAACAATTTCTTTTCCTTTCCACTCCCTTTTTTCCTGCAATTAATTTTTTTAGGTGCAGGAATTTATGCTACATTTATGCTACATTTCTGTGCTTATATAATACGTTACAATCTTACTGATCACTGCAAATTTGTTAGAACTGCCCTAAAGCCTTCCAATCAAATATACTCTGTTATATCCTAGGGAATAACTACTGTCTTCCATTGCAARCTCTTTCAGTCTCATTTCCACAACATTAGAAATCAGCAGCTCAGCCTCAGCAAAGACAGTGTTAAAAGACCCACTGTGGATGGTTCTCAAGGCAAGAATCATAATTAAACTTTCTAGTTATTCTCTTGGTCTCTTCCCTGGAAACCCAACCTTCCAACAGCTGAACCACAAGTGAGTGTTACAAGCAGAGAGCAGTTTTCCTTGTTCCATGCTGGGAAATGCAAGCAGGCACTAATCCCAAACACACTCCACACTTATATCTGCACAGTCCCTGTGTGAATGACACAGCACATCAAGGAATTACACACTTTAACCAAGCCTTACCCACCTTGCGGCTTTTTCAGATATTTTACTTTTGTTAAGGGCAGAACCAACAGAAAATCACGAAGCAGATTAAACGAAAAGTGAAAAATAAAGCAACCCGAAAATTGTATGCCTGCTAGTAAGGGACACTGAATTCTGTGGAAGATAAAGCTATTTTTATCTGCCCAGCACTAAGCCTGAAACTCAGAACCTGCTGTTCATCCTGGTCTCTGATGTAGAAATCAGGAGCAATGGTTGAAGTATCTACCTCCCTCCTGAATTTGTCTGAAATTGGTCAACACATTGAAAAATGGGTAGGGAATAGAGAAAGACAGAGACAAATATTACAGCTTTGTAAACCTTCTTTGGGAAACTCAGCTAGAAACAGAAATTAAAACCAAGGAAAAACTTGCAAATATACTACTGACACATACAGGTAATGCAAAAAAAGTGATATTATGAAGGAGTGATATGACTACATGTAAGCAAAGTCGTTACTTGTTATTAAAATGCAAGCTAAATCCATCASTTACTCCTCTGAGCTTAGCACCACTCTTGATTTATACCAGTGAAAGCTCTGCATTATTAAATTAATCATATTTCATGATGCTTGGCAGTAATCAGTTTAATGTGAAGTGCCCCTTGGATATGCTATTATTCAATCAAGACTTCTATTTTTTGTAAAGAGCTAGGGAAGTGTTAAGAATTTCCACAAATTCCCTCGTCCTTCTTAGTACACCTTCCCTAGCCCCAAAGACTTTCTATTGCTTCCTCACATAGATAAAAGCAAAGGATTTAGAAAGCCAAGCTAACAAATCACACAGAATTCAGATCCTGTCTGACACAGCCTGGGAATCTTGGCAGCAAGAGCTTTGGGATTTTTCCTTCTGCTTAACACACACAGTTTCAGGAAAGTGTTCCTGACTTAAAACTTCTTGTGCAGGATGAGATCAGCTGCTAGGGTAGAGTTGATCATCCATCTTGTTGCTGCTCAAACAGGAATGGTGCTCTCTCCCCATCCTTTTCCCAGCTACATGGCCCTGGCCAAGCTCTGGCACTTAACTGATCCTGCCCTCAGCCAATTCAACTCCCCAAACCAGCAGCAAAGTAAATTCAGTAAAACAAAGTAAGCTGCTTTTGTTTTCCCTTGTACAAAGGAAGCTACTAGCCCATTCATGCTTCTCTAAAACTTCTGAGAAGTGGTGAAACAAATGACTAACATTTTGAGGCAGATGAAGCAGTTTTAAGTCAACTGGAAATCCCTGCTTTTCATTTTTAACACAGTCTCATACAAAAAAAAATAATAAATAAAAAGGGCTTACTTACTATTTGTCTTCTGTTCTCAACCAGGTAGATGCCAACAATCCCTAGGAAAGATCCAAAGCCAAGCTAAGGCAAAGAASAAAACCAACAGAAATGCATGAGGTCAGCTTATCTGGACAACATACCAACACATATCGTGATATCTGAGCTAATGCACCACACAGATGGGCTAAATGGGGTGGGTCAAGGGGAAGGGTGGAAGTTACTGTTGGACATAAATCATAGAATGTAATGGGAAATGCCCAGGACTGCTGTTCTTTGATAGATCAGTGCAAAATTTGTCATGTAGTAAACAAAAGCYGCTATAGACATGCTTTGTAACCTAACTACTGTTACCATTGTCATGTATAGTTTTACACACTGTAAAGCAAAAACTAAGTCAAGTAGGTGAAAAAACCCCACATTTAGTCCACACATCACCATTTTGGAAAATTGCAAAGCTTTAGGCAATTGCAGACAGTTTTTTCCCAAAAAATAGATGTGTTCCTGCCATGCAAATGACCCAAGTTCAAACCCTTGGAGCTTCTTTGTTTGATTTTAATGATTAGACATTATCACACATCCCAGAARAACTTGCTAAAATGCTAAAAGGACCAGTACAGTCAGCTGCATGACCAACAGCCACAGGAGAGAGAGGGGAGGAGGGGACAGTGAAGTAGCTGCCCTTAATGTTCCAATGTTGCTTCAATATCAGGATGGTAGAAAAAGCTCCCTCCTTATGATGGGTCCATGAAGGTTTGGAGCWCCTTGGATTCACAGTTCCAGCCCCTCTTTGCAATGAGGCCTCTGAATTGAGCTCAGAGCCTCTCCTTCAAGCCCAAATTAACTTTTTAAGGACTACATGTCCCAGCCAAGGGCTTAAGCAATGCCTGTAAATTCCTTGCTGTTACGCACAAGTGCTCACAGCAGAAAGCAAATCCTCTGCAAGCACTTTACTCGCTCAGTATCACAAGAGGAATCCGTCACTCGCTTTCAAGAAACCGAATGCAGGGAAAGGAGATTTGCTCTTGAGTGCTTTGGGAAGATTTATGTGAAAGGGAGGCACAAGGACTAAAAGCAGAGACTTTGAAAGAGTGGGCAAGTGCACCCATGCTGACAGCTGAAGAGTAGAGGTACTTGGAACTGTGAGGGAGGACACTCTGTTCAAGGGACAGCAGCTTGGTAAATTAAGATAACTGCATCAAAATGACATCTGGTKGCAAGCCCCATTTTTCATTCCAGCAGGAGCAATCCATAAAGCATCATTTATGGCTGATGCAGGGGACACAAAATGAGTAATATTATCCATGTGAATAAAGAGATGACCAAACACAGAACAATAACAATTAAATCAGAAGGAGCAGAACCATAGAGATCATGATGAAAGCCAGGGCATTACTGAGATTGCTTTAGGTTCGTGTAAGTTGCTTTTTTGTCTGTTCAGACAATAGGCTATTTGGGAACTCCGGGAGCCCGGGTCAGTATGGCACCAGGAAAACTGGACCCTGTTGAAAGGTTATGAAAATAGCAAATGAAAATAATACAATAAGTAGTCACAGAGAAGTGACACAAAATATTCCAATATAAACAATATTTATAAGGAAATTAGGCTGATGCCGTTCCAGCTCTGTCTTTRCAGGCTGTTCCAAAAATAGTCCAAACTGATGATCAAGCAGTAATCTACTAAATGCAGATGCTTTCCAAAGTGTAATGTTATATTAACTCATCTACACACAGTAATACTTTATGTCCAATTACTTTGGATGCATAAGTTCATGTAATATCTAGCATTACAATGATGTACTTAGAAAAAACTTTTTCAAAACAAGTTACAAGTGACCACATATGCAGGGAAATTAAGGCACTTAACTCTTCTTRAAGCCAATGGGAACTTGGCAGAAGCCAAATTGTATTGGGGATCTAACCCTGAAGACCTGTTCTGCAAATACTTCTAGATACAAGTAAATCTATGCCGGTGTATAGTTTTGTTCATCTTCACACATATGTGTTTTCAAGGCAGGGCTAATTCTGTGTTGTTTCTAAGACCAAAATTGCTTACCTAATATCAGTGGAGACTTCATCTCACCTACCAGCTGTGAAATTTATATTTTACTACTGAATTCGATGAGAACCTTATTTTTAATTGGAATTAATACTGTCTGTCTTCATGTTCTTGCTTTTCTCTGAGCCCAGCAGTTAAACATGTAGTGTCTAATTCACTCCCCCTGCTTTAGGTATGTGAAAGTTTGGTATCAGGGCTATCCTGGTTTTTTAAGCTCCCTCTACTGTCAGCAGAGAAGAGAAGCACCTTTTGAGGGCTGTTCAGTACATTCTGAAAGAGGTGATGGTGAGAGGGGATTCAGCCCCTCTGCTCTGCTCTGCTCTGGTGAGACCCAGCCTGAAGCGCTGCCYTCAGWGGGGCYCCCAAMSCAGGAAGGACACRGAGCTGCTGGAGAGAGCACAGAGCAGGGCCACARARATGATCAGAGGGCTGCAGCAYCTCTCCTTTGAAGACAGGCTGAGAGTTTGGCTTGTTCAGCCAGAGAAGAGAAGGCTCCAAGGAGACCTTATTAGCACCTTCCAATCCCTAGAGATGTCGTACCAAAAAGCACGAAGTGACTGGACAAGRGGGAATGCCTTCAAACWGAAAGAAGGTAGGTTTAGAGTAAATACTCAGAAGAAAACCTTTGCTGCAAAGGTGGTGGAACTGGAACAGATTGCYCACAGAAGCTGTGGGTGCCCCATCCCTGGAAGTGTTCGAGGCCAGGTTGGGTGGGGCTTTGAACAACCTGGTCTAGTGTGAGGTGTGATTGTCCATGGCACAGGAGTTGAGATGACCTCTAAAGTGCCTGCCATCCCAAACCATTCTATGACAGTCCATCTGCCAATGCTGCACTGGAATCAGTCACCCCTGGCAGTGGGGCAGAAACACAACAGCGCTGTCACACACCTCTGACCAGGCTTTTGGCAARACACCACGTAAGATTCACATAGCACTTTTAACTCTTGCTAAATGTTTGTGATATTTAAAATCTCAGTGACATTTGCACTGACAATTACCCATCACTCTTTCTCAGTGACTTCAATAATCCATCATGTGTATACAAAAAGAATTCTGGATTTTATGAAAATTATTTTGCTCCAATAATCTTTTGATTGGGAAAATTATTAATAAAACATTTTATTTTCAAGYATTATACTAAATTCTTGCTTTTCTATCTGTTTATTAATAAAACCAAGATTTTTTTTTWWAAAATAGCAAATTATATTTTTCAGGTGAGTGAATAGGCATTGTGTTATTCCTACAAGAAACTGAATGCTGAAATAACCTGTTTTGTTCACATGGATTTATTTCTTATTACATTTGTTAAAGACAGCAATTCAGAAATAAAACTTCCTTCTAGGGATGAATGCAGATAATATGGTCTTACAAAAGATTTTATGTCAAATTTTGGAAGAAGAGAGATCTTTATCAGTATTAATCTATCTATTTTAAGTTAATGAAAGGGAAAATCATTCTTTTAAGGTCTTATTCTTGGAACTGCTTTTTGTTCTATTTTTAAAACACTGCTYTTTATAGATCATTATCCTAAAATTATCTTCTGAAAGTCCTGTTCTCAACATGACACTAAGATGTAAGAGGAATTGTTTAGGAGGAAGAGCTCTAACTTACAAATTATTAATGGCATATGCATGGTATTAGAAGGTGCATATCCCTCTTTTCTGTGCATTTCATTCCATGGAGAGCAAGAAATAATGAATGGCACCTTATAACCTATTTTGGCAGTAGTGGAGCCACACCTAAGCAGTGTCCAACTCTGAGCATATGAGTTTCTTTCTTCACCTTGCACCCTTGACCTCGGCCCTTCTCTATCTGCTGCCCATACTTGTATTCAAAACTCATCTAGGTATTGAATTTTTTTTTTTTTTTTTTAACTCCAGGCATTTCCACACTTTTGGATATGACCTATCCCTTCTCCTGGGATCAGAAAGGGCCTGGGGGTTGAACCAAGAAGGGGCTGGCAGGAATACTCCTCCCTAGAAATCATGGAGGCACCACAGGGCAAAGCAGGCAGAGCTCAAACCTTGTGCCCACTGCAGGAACATTTTTAAGCAGTCTGCCCCCAAAGCAAAAACAAGACTAAGGATTTTAGAAACAGGATCGTGTAAGAGAGAACTGGCAGCAAGCCTGCACAAAAGGATGTCAGGGAGAGGCCTCCACATGTCCATTTGCAGGGCTTTCCCAGCCAGGAATACAGCAGAATTCCTGGCACACAGACATGAGAGTGGAGTGGCTCTTTCTGCCATCAAAGCAGTAAACTTCTATAGGGTTGTTCAAATCCATCCCATGGCTACTGTCCAGTCACACAGACATCCACCTTCAATGGAACACCAGTGAGAGTTTAGCACAGCTTTTCACAGTTCCCTGAGCCCAGCACAGTGCAGTGCAACATTGGCCTCCTTCTGCCCCTAACAGCCCCTTTGGGACACTTCAGAAAAATAATTAACCCCTCTTGCCTTACAACACACTAGAACCAGATCAAAACAAAGCAGCATCTCTCTCCTTTGAAATGCAACAGGACTAATTGTCTTTTTTTTTTTTTTCCTCCGGTAAATCAGAGCTTCCCATTTATGGCTGATTATTATTTGGATGTACCTAATAATTAAAAATGGGTTTTTTACTTACAACAATGCCTGGGTAGTAGCCTCCCACAGTAACATTTTCTGTTCGTGTGGTAGCTGCCAGACCTATGGTCAGTATGAAGACAGACACGACCAGCAGTGCGACTGTGAACCAAAGTGAAGTCCTCTTCCTTTTTGCAAACTGTCCTGTAGGGAGAGGGGGGGAAGGAAAAAAGAAAAAAAAAAAAAAAAAAAAAAGAGCTAAAGAGCTTTTCATTGCAATCATGGCAGAACAAATACACAATAATGGAAGATTTTTTTTTTTCTTAATCTCTTCTGTTGTTAACTCGCTGTTGTTCTCCCACTAAGGAAAATTGCTGGTGGACAACAAAAGGAATTAAAAAGCACAGAGATAGCTAGAGGATAGCTTAATGTACACGCACTGGGTACAGGCATGGGATGAGTTTTTATTAAACTGAACTGGAAGTCAGTGTCAATGATAATTATGCCTTGTCTTCAGTAACATTGACAATTAAGCAGTGTTCACGTTGGTAAGTCGGATCCTGTAGGCCTTAAATTCTTACCTGTGTGAATTGTTGATTTGACTCTGCCTGGCCTGAACATAAAAATGAATATTTTAAACAAGATTAGCAGACACTCTGCATGCTATCGTGAAAATGAATGTGCTTTTCATATTTACTGGGGTAAGCAATCTGTATTCCTGCAGCAAAGCTGTAGTAGAGTTTATCAGGGGATGATAGATGAGACTGCTCAGTGAAATACATCCAGTGTCACCAGGATTGGGATCCAGACACCCAAAGTGAAAACCAGCACACTCACCTCCAGCTTGCAGCCTGCTCCAAGCACTGAACCTTGYGATTGTAGGGCTGGATTTGAGCTGCAACCACAGATTACTCACCCCAGAGTCCCAGCCCAGAGCACAGACTGAAYGTAGGACTGATTTTAAAAAGCCTTCAATATGTGATCTTAACAACAAAAAAACCCCAAGTGAATCAAACTGTGGGCCCCATTTTTGGTGTTCTGGCTTTGAAAGGCAAGGCAGGAGTGTGCAGGATCACCCTGGAGCACTGGGCCATGCGATGCCATGGTACCACACACTGCACCTGGGCAGGATGGAGCTCCTGAGAGAGCGCAACTGGGCACAGCAGGGCCAGTGTGTCCCCCTCTGGGGCCTGAAAAAGCTGCCTGACTGCCCAGCCTCGGGACAAGGCAGGGACTGTGATGCCCCACTGAAGGATGGAGACAGCAGCCCTCTGCAGGGAGGAGGAGGTGAGAGGGGAGGCAGGTTTGCATGGGTCAGGCTCTGGRGGCATGGCTGGAAGAAAAAGCAGGGAAAATGCAGAAAAGTCAAAAAGCAAGCAGAAACCATTTGCAATGAGTCACTTGAGTTTTGTAGCCATTTTAAAGTCATATCACTCAGTTAAATGTTGATAGTTCAAAAGCCAGACTAGATATTTGCAAACAGAGCCAAATAATTTCAATCAGAAAAAAWATGCTTTCATAATAAAAAGCTGTATGTTTGCTGACATTTCTCCAGTAGAACAACCAGTCAAAATTATTCCAGCCTTTTAGTATGAAATAAAAGCAACTTTTCCAGAGACAAATTCCATCTATTGAGCTTACACAAGTCTCTTTCACCTGCATGTACAAAGTCTTCCTGCTAAAGATCAAGAAACAATTCCTAAGATTCTCCAAACACCTCTTCTCCAGCCTGTGTCCCTGCTGTCTGCCTCTGGCAATTCCCTGTTAATCCATGGAGGGTCACTGGGCCCATGGAAATAGAGAGGTCCTTTGCTAGCAATCAGTGTGTGGGGTTAAAGAGCTCTTTCATGAAGTCAGTTCATGTGGCCAAGAGGGAAAATCAGATTTCAGATGTGCAGCTCCACAGATCAGCTGTCCTTCCCACAAACTAAAAGGATTTGTTCAATACACCTGCCAGATTGTAAATAAAATCTGATATCCTGGCCATGCTTTATCATCTTTGAAAAGTCACAGAGATTAGGGAATCCCCAATAACTGAAGAAAGGCAACGGCTCCACCTTTTTCTTAAAAAAGGCCAGAATGATGATTCAGGGAATTACAAACCAACCAACCTCACTTTGGTTCCTGAGATGCTGGGACCAAAAACGTGGAGTAAATCCTCTTGTAAGACATTTCTGGGCACAAAAGGAAAAGGCAGTTGGCAACAGCATGGRTTTACCAGAGCCAAGTCATGTCAAAAAGACTGCACTTGAGGAGCAGTGGATGTCTTTTACCTGAATTCTAGAAAGGTTTTTAACAGGAAAAGTCAAGTCCTGAGCAGAGGAACAAACAATGCCTTGCAAAGACAYAGGTAAGGGACTGCCAGGCTGCAAAGTAGCTCTGCTGGAAAGGACTGGTGGATGATGAGCTGAACATGAACCAGCAGGGTGCCCCAATGACAGAATCCCGGGCTGCACTCACAGGAGCGTCATCAGTAGATCAGAGGAGCCACTAAACCAATCTACCGAGCACTTTTTAGACCACACAATATTACACTCATTTGGGGGCCCTCAGTGTGGGGAAATACACAAAAATTAGCTGCACTCAATTCAACAGAGGACTGAAAAGAAGGTCAGGGGCTGGGTACTCGCTGTATGAGAAGAGGCTGAGGGAACAGACAGGGCTTGCTCAGCCTGGAGATGAGATGGCTTTTGGCAGGGCCAGTTGCAGTCTTCCAATTCCTTTGAGTTGTTGTCAGGAGAACAGACTCTGGCTTTTCATAATGGTGCACAGCAGGAGGAGAAAAGACAGCAGACAAACTGAAATACAAAGAAGTGTTTCAGACTGGGTACGGGGAGAAAAAAATCAACATTAGGACAGTCAAATATTGGAACAGGTTGCCCAAAGAAGTTGTGCTGTCTCCAGCTTYGGAGGTTTTCAAGATTCAAGCAGAAAAAGCACTGGGCAAGCCTGCCTGACCTCACAGCTAACTCAGCTTTGAGCAGGAGGTTGGAATATCAACTTTCTGAGGTACCTTCCACCTGAATTCTATGGTTTTATGATAGTCAAGACAACTAGGCTAAAAGTTGGCTGGGTGTGTGTGCTCACATCCACTGACACGACACTGCAGCTGCAATGTAGACATAGTCTAAAGGGACATAGGAACACCAACCTTCCCAAAGCTAGTGGGGCAGATGCTCCTTAGCCAAGCCTTTTTAAAACCACTGAACGCTTTTATGAAATGTGCCTGAAGAGCCAAGCCTCCACATTTCTCTTACAGTAGCATCCATAGTAGCAAAGGTTAATCAGATTGCATGGAGATAAACTATGTGTCCAACCCACCCTTCTGAGCACTGGGTATGCATAATGGAAGATTTGAGCTTGATTGACCAGTCTGAGTTTGCTGGAAAATGCCTTAGGAAGAGCATGCTCTTCTTTGTAATTGGAGTAAATCTGATGTGGATTTAGTGAGACCGAACGGCAAAGGATGTCATTATTTGTAGGGGCGATTCTTTTTCTGAACTATATTTTGACTGAAATTTACAAGTGCCAAAAGGCATTTATGTATACAATAACCATCAACCCTCACATTCATGGATTTTTACCACCTGCATCTCAAAAGAGTCAAATGTCCCATCATGTTTCCCCTTTTCCATAGTTCAGCTTGGAAACTCTGGTAAGTACATGTCCTTAGCTATAAACTTAGGATGACTTACATGCAGGAGCACAGAAAGGCCCGTCTGGAGCAGAGGCTGGCACATGCAAGGACTCATTCTCAAAGACTTCCACATGCCCAGAGAAGATGGGTAGAATCAGGTCTGAATTGGTTATTATCACGCTGTTTGGTTTTTCTTAGTCACAACAATAAAAATCTTTGCTCTATCAATATATGTGCAATTATGTGCATGCAAGCCACCATCCTGGGCGGCTTATGTAACATTTGCAAAGCAGCACAGTGTCTTCAGATAAAAAGAGCCACAGCTGCAAAGGGTTCCTGCTACTGCCATTTCAGTCATGTTGGCTCCCAAGATTTCTCAAGGCTTTATTTACTGCTGTTTGTAGCAGTTGCCATGCAGTTTTTTTGGGTCTGTGTTCAATGTTCCTGCCAGCCAAAGCCCAATGCCAGACTGTTCCCTTGGAAGCTCTGTCTCCATCCCCCTGTGCCTGGCCCAGCCTTCTCCCCTGGCATTCTGTGGCAAGGCTTGGACCGAAGGCTGGCTGTATACAAGAACAGCACTTAAATTAAGAGCAGAGGAAATGCTACTGTCAATATTTGTAGCCTGAATTTTCATCAAACACCGACATGTTCCTGGAGTGCAGGAAACAGTTAATGGAGGCTATTCACTTTCCAATCTTTAAGTACTGAAGTAACTCTCAGAATAATGTTGACATTTATTACCTTTAACTTCTTTAACAATGATTCGATGTGAATATTATTGAAYTCCTAGTCTGGGCCTTAATGCAATTCAGTTATAACTTAAAATGCTTCTGTTTAGCATACCRAAAACCAAGCTTGTAGGAAGAAGCCTTGTCATATCCTTATTWGCATCAGCTTGAGGCTAGGGTCAATAGAGGGTGTGAATATGTTRTTAACTTCTGTTGGCAATATTCTTCAGCAGTTTTGGCCAGTGAAGTATTGACTGAGTCTTGGGCACTGAGGTTTTTGCAGTATTAACTGCAGCAATAGGCACTACAGATAAATTAAAGAGGTAACAAAATTTCCACATGACTGGCTTGTGCTCTGCCTGGCGCAGCCCTAAATTGTGCACAAAAAGGAACAGTCACAGAAACATTCCCTGCTTTGCTCACTAAATGTCTGTCAGGYGACATATCTGCTTGAGGTATTCAGCCCTGCTTCTGCAATGGAAGGAGAGAAAATGCCACCAGGACTGGGAGGAGTGACACCAGACTGTTGCCTCCTTGGGACAGGGAGTAGAGAAACAGAGATCACCCTCCAGAGAGCAAAAAAAGAAAAAGTGCCCGCTGAAGACCGCAATCTGCTGCATTCAGAAAAAACTTCTGTCCATCAGCTGCAGAAAACAAAATTATATTTTCAATGCTCTGTTTGCAATGAGTGGGGTTRAATTTGAAGGAAGACTATGGAAAATTAATGGCTTTGTGGGGAGGGTATACATGAGATTGAAAAGTGGTGGATCTAATGAYAAACAGTAGGGTCTGGATATGAAAAAATGAAAAGAGTGAATTTAAAAGGAGAAAGAACTAATTAATGATGAACAACTCCATGCTACAGACTGTGTCCAGGGGCTAAGGGAAAGAAAGAATGAAACAGCAACTCTACACCTTGGAAAACTTGCAKAAAATCTGTGACTGAACTAAAAACGTCTACATTTAGACCAAGGAAACGACACTTTGCCAGCTTTACTACTTCTTTTAAAATCTAACTTCAGACATGATAAAGTCTGTTAAAAGTGTGGCATGACTTTTGGCAAGGAAAAAAGTCACTGTGGGATGTAGCAGTTACCTGAGATTGCAATCATATTTGCTGAACATTAGCACTACATAAATCTATACCTTCATCTTTGATCTAGTTGGGATGATCTAAATGGAAAAATTTATTTCAAATAATGTATATTAGAATCTTACTATGAGAAAAAGAAGCAAACTTTTGTAACAGGAAAAAAGTGCATTTTTATTATGCAATGAATACTGCCAAAAATTTTGACATGTTTCAGAGAGTGGCATTTGGCACATGGAACAAGATAATTTAAGTGGAAATTCACCACAGACAGACTTGAGTATCACAGGTATCCTCCGTGTTGTTGCTATTGAGAAAATTTTTAGGAGAGTTTTGGAGTTAAATGATAGATTTTTAATTACTGCAATGTTCACTTCAGTGCCATCTCTCTCTCAGCCACAGTTTTGTGTATTTTAAAAACTCTTTCATACCAGTGAAATTGAATTAATCCTACATTGCCTCCCAAAATTAAATGTGACGGATTGAGATGCTTTAAAAAGATACTCACACCTGCTGTTGGTGATTACTTTCCCTCTTCTGATTAAATGCTTGACTTGTCCAGAGTGCTGAACTAATTAAACCAGATGCAACAACATTCATTTCAAGCCACAAGACAGCAGCTTTTATAAGGCCCGTCTCTTACCTTTATTATTAATTTGTTGAATAGGATTCCATGACTGCGCTATATATTCAAGACCACGGGAAACAGTTCACAATTCTGCTACAAAACATCCTTCCTGAACAAAATGAAAAATCAATCCCACCAACCCTGACATAGCATGTAGTATGGCCATAGTAAGTGATACCATGCAGTATCACTATGACCTCATTGTTCTGGCAGCAATTGTTTCACCAGTAAATTATTTAATGAACAGCTAATCACTAGTTTAAAGCGAGCATACAGATTCTCCTTTTTCCAATGACTACCTGAAAACGTTTTTAAGTTACAGCACATCTTCCACACCAACATAATTTTTTTCTTCCAAGTTAAAGACAAAAATTAAGGTCTGATACATTTTTTTATCCAGCTATTAAGATCCCTGAGTGCATAGCAAAATCTCCGCTTATCCTTTCAAACACTACACAGAGTAATTCCTAGCTGTCAGTCCTGTATTTTCTAAAGTTTAACAAATTCCACTGGAATAATGAAATACTTGACCTTTCTTTCGCCTATGTTTGCATTTCAGGATGCACGCTGTAAACACGAGCAGCTCACCATTCGATCAGGAGAAACAGGAGGAAGGAAACCAACCCAACACCTGTCCCCAGCCCGCTCCGCACCTGYGCAGCCACCGGCCGTGGCCATCGAGCACAGAACCATGTCTCCTACATTAATTTCCTATCGGCGTGCAGGATAAAAAAAAAAAGAAAGGAAAGCTATTCCTCCGAATGTTAAACCTCCAGCACAGGGATCCATCAAGCGTTGCTGAAGGCTCTGAAGAAGAACCGGTATTTTTAAACACTCGGGCGAGCCGGAGGATGAGCGGTAGCGCGCACAGCGCCGGCAATCTCGGGCTGAGCGCCCCCGCACCGCCACTCTGCGGGGACAGCCGGGRCACAGCCGGGACACAGCCCGGGCACAGCCCCCGCCCGTGCTCTCCCGTCCCGCTGGCCGAAGGGCCGAGGCAGCGGCGCCCACCCCGGGGCAGCCCGGCTGTCCAGCCCCGTCCAGCCCCGTCCAGCCCCGTCCAGCCCCGTCCAGCCCCGTCCAGCCCCGTCCGGCCGCTCTCCCCGCCGCATCCCCGGGGCTCACGCAGCCGGCGGGGCAGGTACCGGGCTCACCTATGGGGTCCAGCATGGCCAGCGGGCCCGACACGGCGGGAGGGGGCGGCGGGACCATCATCTCCCGGGGCTCTGGCCCCGCTCCGCTCCGCGCTGAGCCGGCGCTGCCCGCGGGTGCGGCGGGTCCGCCCTGGGGGCGCGGCGGGGCCGGGGCGGGGCGAGCGGCGCTGTCCCCGAGGGGGGACACTGGTGCCCAGCCCGACCTGACCCCGCTCCTGCCGCCCTCGTGGGGAGCACGGACCAGGTCTTTACTCATGCAGCCATCAGCTGCTTTATTTGTTACGTGTCCTACCCGTGCCCCAGCCCTGGCCTCACTCCTGGGTTTCTTCTTGGCCAGTTTGACACCTGGTGGAGAGCAGAATTGTCAAACTTTTCTTTCAGCTTTCTTCTTCCCTTTAAAAAATTGGATCTGAAAATAAAAAAGAAAATAACACAGCAACCAAAAATACTAATTAAATYACAACAGCAGATATCCCCRAGACATAAATTAAGGCAGGTGTRGGCTAAGACAGGAAATGTCRAAAGTCAAGAGGTACTGCAGGGCTTCTCTTTTTCTTACATGTATCCATCTCTCAACCTCACTGCCTCGGTTTTTATTCCCTCTGCAGATTCTACTCTTGTTCTGCTGCTTCCCAGGAACAGCCAGCTGTTGCTTCTGGTGCTAGTGACTGCAGGGTTGTGTGACTTCTGTCTGAAAGAACAACTGAGAAGGAACAGACAAAGCCAGTGTGCTGCTTTGATGTCCGCTGTTCCTTTTGCCTGACTTCCCTATAGCAGAGAATGTAATAAATTTTTCTTGTGGAAAATGTTTTTGATAGGCTGCCAAGTGYTTTGCTTATGTTGTGTTCTCCCACTTGCAACAAGCACAACTCTACTTAACATCCTTGTTTTCTTCAGCTCCAGCCTCTAAATGTATGCATGCATAAGTATTTAAGATCTTCATGTTTTGGCTGATTTCCACAGGAAATGGTTACATGGAAAGAGGCAATTTTCTCCCATGCTATCCCTGTAGCCTATGAAGATAAGAAAGCCAAGGGCTAACGCCAAACGAAAAATCGACTTTTTCTCTTTGCATCCCCTTACCTGAAGATGTTGAAAAAGGGAGCAAAAAGTAGGATAGAGGTAGTATTTGTACTATTAATGACTAGTTTTTAATAGAAATTAATGAAGTAATAGATTGAGAAAACACAGATGGTGATGGTACAAATAGGAAATRTATTTGAAAGTGGTAGTGGATAAGAGTGATACAAATGCTCCAAAATCTGATAAAGACCCTTAGGTTCAGGGATGGCTATGGATAGAGGTTTTCATCAAYAGTAAATAACAGCAAGCCTGGGGACKACTTCAATTCCCTAGACAGCTGCARGACAAAGACCTTAGGYAGCATGTATTATCRGGTGTGATGGGCAATAAACTCTTTMTTTACCAGCAGCCATCTGATCAGACTCAACAGCTTAAAGGGATGCAGATCTATAATTCTTTTCAGTTAAATATAAGGATATTATAAATCTTTTAAAAAATAATTTGATTACAGAAAATAACCTTGGTGAGTGAGTAACATTTTTTACAGCAAATTTCATGAAAACCAAGAATAGATCTGGTCCTACAGTCCCTGATATCAGAGGGCAAACATTAAGAAACTATGAAAAATGATGAGCAAGGCTGCACAGACCTGAAAAMGCAAGCATTTAAGCATGGAAGAATCATGGACTTACTTTAAATCCAAAATGGAAAGTCCTGTATAGCACTTTCATCCATAAAAGAGGTTGGAATAGGTCAAGAACAATTGTAGAGCAAGTGGATAAGTAACTACCTGAAAGTGAATGAACTTACAGGAAACAGGATATAGTTTGCAAGATTAGAAACTGCAGGATCAGAGAGAAAGAATGGATAAAAATCTAGCTGAACCTGATGTTACAAAGCAAAGGATAACAGATAACAAAGAATTSTTCACTATATAAATAAAAGTGATTCAAAGAAGCAAGATACATGGTGGCTAAATGCCAGGTATGAGGTGAAGGCTGCTCCAAATATTRAATAAATACATASCCTCAGTTTTCACTGAAAAGAAAAWAATTAAGGTGAGGGTATTTGCAGAGAGTTTTAAGTGAGCAAGATAATGTGAAGGATGACATGAGCAGATATGAACTAGAAGCATAAGTTTGGCTGTTTCTTGTGACAGGCCCTGGAAAACTGCACCCCAAAAGTAGAAAAAATTGGTATCTATCTTGTCAGATCCTGAGGAACAGTTTTGATAAACCAACAAAGTTGGGGGTGAAAAGCTGTTATTGGAGACTATTGGAGACTAGGAAACCTGTCTTCTAAAAAAGCAGAGGGAGTGAGAGGAACAGCAACTCCATGCCCTGTTAATTTGACTGAGAAAGTTCTTAGAGGTAAGTGAAAAATGGGTTCAGCTACATTATGGTTCATCAAAGATAGATCATRTCAGACTCCCAAGATCTTTGATAAGGGAAGTGATCCCTGAAGCAAAAGCATTGTAGTGAAGCAAATCTATCTGGATGTCTATACTTTAATAGAGTCCTTCAGAGAAAAAGTCTTAACATGGAGTGGACAGTTGCAAGTATGGGTCAACATCAGTTATGGGAATTACAAACAGGAAGCCAGGATACTGGCAGGCCAGCTGAAGTGCACCCCAGGGACCAGTCTGGAGGCAAGATCACTGATTACTGATCACTGATGCTGCTGGGTGTAGGGAGTGTATGTGTGGTTATGGAGCATGTGACCATCACAAAGCTGGCAGGCACAATTCTGTTACTGATATCACAGTTGCTGATACTGAGGGCAGTGGGAGCAGGAGCTCACTAGCATGTTAGATTGTGTTGAAATGGAGCTTACACACTTAAAAACAAATAATGAAAGCTTTTATTGTAATGTTGAAGTCCAATGCACTTAACTTTTTACCACAATCCTCAGATTACTATTGTATTCCTCAGAAGGTTTGGGACCTGTCTCCTCCTCTCATTCTCTGAACATCCAGCAGAAAGGTAAGCCAGTCATTGCTGAAGCTAAACTCAGGATGCTCAATAGTCCGGCTTGCCCAGTCACAGAGGGTCATGAAAACGAGGCAAGTAAATTYCCTTGGTCCATAATTTATAAATAGTATTTATTGGCATGGTCACTGGTACAATGCCTTGAGAAGTACATTGCCTTAGTTCAGCTGGGMAGCATAAGAGAATCACACAGGAGGTGAAAGGAACAACAGAGGTAGCCTTGAGGTTGAGATAAATGGCCACTGAATATTTGACTAAAATATGGATATTAAAGGACAATTTCTGGTCAATCAAAAATTCTGCTTCCTGGTGCCAGTCAGTATCCAGTGTGTGTCTTATTAGCACAAGATAAAGAACCTGGCTTCTTTAAAAGGGACGTGAAAAAGTATAGCTATTTACAGCATTGTTCAGAGGCACTGGAAATCAGTGAATGACACTTTCATTCATGGTGTATGTCTGTCAAAAGTAGGAATAAATTCTTTAATTGCCTTCAGTTGACTTCACCTACTAATTTGTGCAGTCAGTTTTTGAACACTATAAACTTTCAGCATTCACAACATGTTGTGACAAGGGGCTCCATGTGCGCTGTGTGAAGATGAGGAATACCCCAATGGGAGTAAGAAGCAAAGTGAAAAGAGCAAGATAAAAGTCAAGTTAAATGTCAGGTATATTTAAAATCATAGGAGAAAGTACCTGGAGAAAGGTGCCTCATCCTTACAAAAACATCCCAACAAAATAAGCAAACTACTGCAATGTGATACCAAAAGCCATTGTGTTATTTATTTGTTAATAAARCTAAACAATGAAAAGTTGTGTGGATAATGCAYTGGAGACCRTTCTTGTGCTGTAACTTATAACCAWATCAAGACAACAAATCTCTGAAAACTGAAGTAAAACAAAGGGTTTCAGAGAAATACCTGGTCTTGAAATACTGTTACACTGATAGAGCCTTACTTTATAGAAGGTGCAGATGTGCCTCTTCAATTAATAATCAATAAAGGTATGTTTGAAAAGTACCAATAATAACACATCAGAAGCATGACAGAAGAAAAAACCAAAAAATATTACTTGGTATTGTGACATTAATTTGTATGCAGGTAAAAATGTTCATACAGAGGTATTTATACCAGTCCAAACAGGAACAAATCATTAATTTTTGGATTGCATGAGGAAACTCCTCTAGAAAATGCCTCTTAAATTTCAGAACTATGCCATCACCAAAAGAATAAAACAATGTGGAAAGCAGATATAGTAATCAAATTTTGTAACAGGCATAATTTCAATTACACTTCTAAATAGTTAACATAAAGTTTGATTAATTATTTTTCATATCTTGAAGCATCTTAAAAAATTCCTTTAAAATCATACAACCCTTCAAATTACTAGGTTTCTTAAAGCCCAGAAGTAAGTGAGATGCCTTGTACATTTCCTCATTTTAGTTGGTGCCTGATTTGGTCAGGTGCSCTTCATTGTATCTGCTGTAGTGACACAAACTCAAGGACAATGTCTGGTACAGTSTCAATGAGGGAAGAGATCCTTCCACCTCTCTTGTCCCATCCAGGCAAGGTTGTTTCCTCTGTATATTCTGAGCAGCTTTGCTTGGTTGAGTTTTAAAGTCTCACTTACGAAGTTCTCCTTTCCCTTGACAGGCAGTTTTACAAGTTTAATGGAAGATGAGGAGAGTCMAGAGCCAAGTTCCACCCTGACAACCCCTCAAGGGTCGTAATGTACCRCAACGTTTGTCAAACTGATCTCCTAATTGTTTTACTGATGGACTCCTTTAACTTCAAGAACTCACCGTACTCTTCATAAACTCTGGACCATGAAATATGGAATTAGAGCCATATTCTGACATGCACTGCAATTTCCACTGAATCAAAAATGCCTTGGTAAGGAGAACAGYGAAGTCTGTAGAATGTGGAAGTGTGGCTCAGCTGGGAAGATGAGAGAAGAGGCAGAGGGTGAGCAGAGACAGGTGGGTCAACCTTGGAAGATTGTTCTAGAAGAAAATATACCAGCCAAGGAGAGGTATCCCAGTAATGTCTAGTGA